GATCAAAGAAGGTTGTTTATTTCATATCTGGAGTCAAAGGGAGGTAGTCCTTATAAAATAAACTACCTGAGTCCTATAGGAGAGATCTGTATGTAACAACTGATGTACTTGAACCACAGCTCCACAACCATTTCATCACAACTTCAATACAGTAACCACTGAAAGTGTTGTATGCCTGAATTGCATTGTGATAAAAGTTTCCATGCTTGTTCTATACCTGTAGAAAGGCTTAGGGCTTTGACGAATGGCTGCAGTAATTAAAAGCTTGATCTTCTCAGTTACTGAATCTCACAAAGTCAAGAGTGTTTGTTCAGGTATGTGAGTGACTTTCTTGAACATCAATGAGAGACAGATGTGCTATATGTCTGCTATGGAAAAGATTACACCATAATTTAGCAGCTTCAGGGCATGCTTTACCTCAAAATCCTCAAGGGAACTTAATACCTAACATATTACTAAAAAAACAACACCAATTTATCCAGCACCTTCTTTTTTATAGTTATTGGTTTGCTTGTGAATTTCTACAGGTAAACCTATCTTCCATGTATTACATTACATGTTTTGAAAAAAACCTGTGTTTGTGGGTGGGATCACCTCAGGTCTCACCAGTAGCTTGACCTGGTGGTGTCACTTGTTAGAGATAAAGAAAAAAGTTGAATGCAGTACTGTTGAAAATTCTAGGCATAGCAATAACACCTCCATGGAGACCAAATTTAAAAAAAATAAAAATCACTTATATATGCAGTATTTTGACAATTACTTTTGCTTGTGAAATGTGCTAGAAATTAGTTAACTGGGTTGATAAATGTTAATAGTAAATTTCTTATTCTGACAATTAACTCTACTGGCATCAGTGGCTTAGTGAAATAAGAAATAAGGAAAGGCCTTTTGGAAACGGCTGTATGTAATACCTGGAACTTGGGAAAGGGCAATTCATGTCATAAAGCACCTCCCTAATCTGAAGTTTAAGGCTTTTCTTCAGATCTGTCTGCATTTAGATGATGATGACACTATAGAAATAGTGTAATGTATACATTTATATGACATGTAAATGTGAATATGTCATAAGCAGGTTATATGTCTGTGTTTGATATCATTGTTAAAACATCATTGCACTGTGCTCAGTTCATACATAGGACTGTCTTATTTTAGGCTACATGGGCTACATACTGGACTGCTTGGCTTTCTGACCCTGCCTTTTATGTTATCGTCTTTTTCTGTGTGGATCTTTCTGCGTTCTCGAGGGACCATACAAAATAAGAACAAAGTCTGTTTTTTGCCATACTCTTTTGGCTCAGAAGTATATTGTAAATAATGAAGACAGAGTTGTTTGTGTGTCTGTGTGTATAATATAATATATAATAATATATACTAATATATAATATGTATTATATATGTGTGTGTGTGTGTGTGTGTGTGTGTGTATATATATATATATATATATATATATATATATATATATATATATATATATATATATATATATATATATATATATATATATATATATATATATATATATATATGTATAGAGAGAGAGAGAGAGAGAGAGACCCCCCCCCCACACACACACACACACACATTTTAGAAGACTACAGTAAAGTATGACCACAAAGTGTGTGAATGGTGCAACAACTGGTGGCAATTCAATAATAAACAGCGCCCCCTTCCGTACATATTCTCGCATTACCAGAAATAAAATTACAAATGATTACAAATACTGCAGAGGCCACGTTTAAATTTTTATTAATGTAACTGTATGTCTGTAAGTTTGGCATTTTGAAAAATACTATTGTGTGCCGTAATAATGTACTTACTTAAATAATGTTAAATAGTTTAGTATAGATTGTCTGTGTAATTCCTCAGTCAGGCAGGTATGATCCATAGCAAAAGAAAAGTTAAATTATGTAAACTGGACAAAAGCTTTGAGTGAAGACGTTTCGCCATCGTGTAAACTCTAAAATTTATAGAGACTACTACTGTGACCTGACTGAAAGAAGTAGTACATGTGACCAATGAGAGGAGTTGGAGTACAGCCCGAACACCGCACAGGGGAGCTGCAGAGGACTGTGGCCATGACTGTGGTTGTCTCTGCACTGTTTGTAGCTACATTAGCTTGTTAACATGAATTCAACCTAAGTACTTCGATGCAGACCGGTACTTTTAATTTTCATTGTAACTGTAGGTTTAGATGACCGGATAACGCTTCAGATGGAGATTTGTGATATGCTGCATTGGACACGGGGAAGCAGCCGGACTGCCAGTGTAGTCTGACAGCTGTCACCGTGTGTGGAGCCACTTAGCCCGGTGTGCTAAGTGAATTCACGGCTAACAAGTGGTACGGAGTTGGGCCGGCGAATTCAACAAATATCGCTGCACACATTTGGAAGAGGTGACTTGTGATGGACTTCATCGCGTACTCCGTGGATGCAGTAATATTTAAAAGGATGTGTTTTGTGTGTCGTCCTAAACGTATTTTGGAATAAAGCAAGATAGTTAGCATTTTAGCAATAGAAAGCTATCTGCTTCCATTCAATCACTCAACATCGCCGCGATATAAACATAGCAATTTGACGCGTCTTTACCACCCTACAATAATTATTTTCAACGAAAAGACAATAATGAAGAAGTTTTTTGACACTCGTCGAGAGCTTGGGAGCTCAGGGCCCGGCTTAGGAGCCGCTGGTGGTGGAGGCACTGGATCCGGTGGAGGGAGCAGCTTCATTGGACGAGTTTTCAACATAGGTCGCTACCAAGTCACGGTCGAAGAAATTGTTGCTGAAGGTATCTCTAGCTTTATTTTATTCTACGTTTTATTATGACTCCTGATGTCTGCATTTGTCTTTTCCCCAAGTCTGCTCGCAAGGCAAGCACAGGGTTCTGTTTGAATCACACACCTTTGATATGTCCTGAGTTGAGAGAATTCAGTAACATGCACGGCCTGTGCTGAGTCACAAAAGTGTTCACTGTGTGCACAGGGAGTGGCAAATCATCTTTCAAGTATGACCTGAGTATACCTGCTGCAGGAACTCATAAAACGAGGGTTTTTCAAGAGAGACGACTGGAGGTTACAAGTTCCCCATGAATAGCTGCCTGCGCATGACAGCCGTGCTCCGTTCGGTAGCAATGCGTTGTTGTTAAATAATGTATGAAAAACACTGATTCATTAGGCCTATGGATGGGCAGCAACGGTTTCACTGTGGCTTTATCAAAGAGGCAGATATTTGAACCCCTTTGCTCTCAGGAAGACTTGTTGTGTTAGGACATTCCATCACAATGTTTCCACATCAAACCAAACTAAACCTAAGACAATCTAATTGACATTTTTAAAGGTATTGCACTTTTTAAATACTCTGTTCATACATTTTATCCTGCCCAGTATTTCATATGTCCTAGCAAAGATACATGGAGTGTGCCCAGCCCAGCCACACCTGTTTATTCAGATGGTTTCAGCTTTACTCAAAGCTATTTCTGTGAGCTCTGGTTGTGTGTTTTGGACAGTGGGCTTCCTCGAATATTGATGTCTGTCCCTATACACTTGTGGATGTTTTGCAGCAAACTGTGATTAAGAAGATATTCAAATTTATAAATACCGATTATATTTTAGTTATGCACTTCCATCATTTAAATGCCAGAGGGAGATGGTTCCCTTTTTATCAGACTACTATCTGTTTACATATAGAATTACAGGGTGAAACAACTACCTCCCCTGGGCACGTCTTCGACTACAACATAACCAGCATTTGCACTTTTCATCATGTTTTACAATGATTGTGCTTTGGACGTACGTTGCATTTTTTTTCATAAAGCCACGCAATGGTATGTTTGACTGATGTATTATAATGTTGAGGTAAAGTAGAAGAGACTAGTTTGTAGAAGCACTGCTTTGGTCATACTCTCTGCTTAGTGCAGACAAGACTGCTGCTAAATGTTGCCTAAGAAGATGACTAATCCCACTAATTAACAGGCATCTTAGATTAGACTATGAGACAGCAAGGATGCAGCTTCAGAGCTCTGCACCACACAAACACAAGCTGTTACTTAAGGCTCCAGTTATATTTCAGCATGGCCTTTCCCTTCTAATATATTTTGTTTACACAGTCTACTAGAGATGTAGGCAAAAGGGTGACCAAAGTTGGATCATGAATATTATAATTTCCTGTTTCCTAATGATTCATCTACTGACTGTGCTCCTTTTCAGCACATCTGCTGACTCACACTTGTGCTCATTCAAGCTTCCCCTAAAAATATGCCAAACAGTAGGCTTTATTCAAATACTCACTTAAAATTGTATTAATACCACACACTTCATACAGACTAATAAATATCACATTACATTGTTTTACATCTTTTTGTTTTTCTTTCTTAGGAGGTTTTGCTATAGTATTTTTGGTGCGCACTCATCAAGGGGTACGCTGTGCACTAAAACGAATGTATGTCAACAATGAGCATGATCTGCAGATCTGCAAACTTGAAATTCAAATTATGGTGAGTATATTGGTGGTAACAAAATGTTTATTGTTTTTTACTATATATATGAGTCATAATCATATTAACAAATACAAAAGATTTATGTTAGCAAGTAACTTTGGCGCCATCTTTGGAAGGTGGCATTAAAGAGGGGTTTGTTGTTAATGAGGTTTGAATATTGCACTCCCCTATAAATTACTTAAATTACTGATACATTTCGAAATGTTTGTAAAATTGTTGGAAAGGCAATTTTTTTGTATTTTAAATGAGCCTTGCTCAGTTCCTGAGACCACACCCTGGTGGTTTCAATCTCAGGAGATTGTTATCATTGTCCTTGGATCAGACAGTGCTTGTGTTAGAAATCTGGGTTGGCAATATGGGGAAAAATGAATATTTCCAACTCCATATATTTTGATTATGCACATAACAATATTATAAGAATGCATCAGAAATGTGCCTATCAACATTGTGGTTAAGATTCAAATATCGGACAAGAAATGAATGTGCTGTACAGTTACACAAGTTTAGAAATATCACAGTATACCTTTGTTTGGAAGATTATACTGCAAGGTTTTGTTTTTATTGTGTCCTGCTGCAGACATTTACATTTAGATAAAAATGTACAAATATACAAACAATATTCCAATTGTGCATATATTTAATATGATCCAAAAATTGATAATGTATGTAATCACACACTTCTACATAATGACTTTATACAAAAATAAAACACTATTGTTTGTCTGTTGTTTCTGCAGAGGGACCTTGTTGGGCATAAAAACATAGTTGGTTATCTGGACTCGAGCTTAACAGCTGTTGGTGCAGGAGATGTCTATGAAGTCTTAATTCTAATGGACTTTTGTCGAGGTAAATTTAGTCTCTTAAATATCCCATTTGGTTTAGTCAGAGTTCATGTATATATCCATGTGTGTATGTATCTGAGTGTGTGTGTGATTCTTAGGAGGACAGGTTGTAAATCTAATGAACCAAAGGCTTCAGACAGGGTTCTCGGAGGCAGAGGTCTTGCAGATTTTTTGTGACACATGTGAAGCTGTTGCACGTCTCCACCAATGCAAAACTCCAGTCATTCATCGAGACCTTAAGGTAATTCACACTTCACATTTAATTATTTTTAATATTATTATTAGGGCCGGGTACATTAATACGTTAATTTTGCGTTAACTAATTCATTCATTATCGCCGACAATTATTTTAATGCCGTTGACGCAATTTTTATTATTATTTTTTTCATTGTAAACGTCTGTTGCTCACTGGCTTTTATTTTGAAAAAGTCCACCGCGAACATTTCTTTAAGTTTGACGTCTTCTCTTTACACTTTTTTCACTTTTTTCTGACCACGTGAAATGCATCGTGTCCAATACTCCGCGGGCCGCGGGTTCAGCTGCAGGCACAGCCATGGGCTCTGAGCTTCCACTGGCTCCTAGCTCCAACCGGGCTGCAAGCTCAGGTTCACGGGTCTTTCTTCTTCTTCCAGACACCCCTGAGGTGTCCAAATAGAGGTGTCCAGTGCGGTTTTCATTGCTGCGGTCTCGCTTACATAATGCTATTACAGGGTATTTGTGAAGGCACGGAAGATTTCGTGATATGATCCCGCCCATAACTCAGTCACTGATTTACCCAGATACTATTGGAAGAAAAATTGTGATTGGTTCATTTCCATTCCATTATATTAACCCTTTGTTTCCCAAGAAATATTAGTCCAAGTTTACAACAATGATCTAGAAATTATTACTAGTAGTAGTGTTTATTACTCACTGAATAAAAATGTTGAAAAAAATATATTAGTAGTACAACAACAAATGTATGGCTCTTTTATTTACATTTCCAATAAAAGTGCGCTATACGCTACTTTTTAATTCATTAATTGTTTTTTGTGTATAACATGCTTATTGATTAATATTTTTTTTATTTTTGCCTAGCCCTAATTATTATTTATTCACTTTCTTCCACCAGGTTGAAAATATTCTTCTGCATGACCGAGGTCACTATGTGCTCTGTGACTTTGGAAGTGCCACTAACCGATTCCAGAACCCTCAGACTGAGGGAGTGGCCACTGTGGAGGAGGAAATCAAAAAGTGAGTTTGGACTACAAAAACACATCTTTTATTTTTCGCCAAATGTCCATGAGCTCATGAATTTCTCCTTTGTTGTCTATAGGTACACTACTTTGTCTTATCGGGCCCCAGAGATGGTAAACCTTTATGGTGGAAATGTCATCACAACAAAAGCAGACATTTGGGTAAAAGTTGCTATTTTTGCCCTATAATACTGTAGTGAATGCATCTCTCTATTAAAATTGTTATTGCTTACCTAATAATTATGGATTTTTATGTCTGGTCAGGCCATGGGCTGTTTACTGTATAAGCTTTGCTTCTTCACACTACCCTTTGGGGAGAGCTCAGTAGCCATCTGTGATGGCAGTTTCACTATCCCAGACAATTCCCGGTATTCCCAGGAAATGCACTGTCTCATCAGTGAGTATAACAGTTTTTATGTATTGCTGATTTGAATTATGGATTACAATGTAGTATATTTTTTTCTAGGATACATGCTTGAACCTGACCCAGAGAAGAGACCAGACATCTATCAAGTGTCCTACTTTGCCTTCAAACTGGCCAGGCGAGAATGTCCTGTCCCAAATGTACATGTAAGTCACTGGATCCTTTGGGATATTTGGAGGCTATGATTCCTTCTTTTTATTGTTTTTCTTTGATAACTGGACTAAAGGTGATTTAATGTCACTGTTGTAGAATTCACCCATTCCTGCAAAACTTCCTGAGCCCATCAGAGCCAGTGAAGCCATGGCCAAAAAGAGTCAAACCAAAGCTAGGTGAGAGTAAATCTAAGTAACTGATAATAGTTTTCTCATTTCACATATTAACATGTGCAGTGTTTAGGCTTACAGACCCTGTGCCCACCCTGGAAACCTCCATTGCTCCTCGACAGCGACCCAAAGCAGGCCAGGCTCAGCCTCAGCCCATTTCAGGCATTCTTGCCATTCAGCCTGCAGCTACTCCACGCAAAAAGTCTAATGCTGTACCAGGTATAAAAGGAGGATCCTGATTAAATAACAGTGCACTTTTAGTTTTTGGTGTTATTTTAGGTGTTGTCTCATCTGCAGCCACTCCTGCTGTTCAGCCTGTGTCTCAGCCAGCTCAGCCTCCTGCTAACATGCAGCCACAGCCTACACCACAACATCAGCAGCTCCTCATGAAGCAACAGCAAGCCAATGCATTTCTAAGCCCCCAAAGTAACCAGCAGGTAATAAAGTCAAAGACCACTATTTTTTGGAGACATTTTCTCGTTTGAAAGTAAGAAATCGATAGCACTGACTCGAGAGGCTTTTGTTACAGACTTGTTTTAAAAACGCACATTACTGGCTATTTATATGTAGCATTCTGTGGCACAGACCGTCCATCTTCGCAAAAGTGCTTCTCTGGCATCCACTTTGCTGCAGTCACGAGCTAAAGTGTCCCAGCAGCACCAAAAGCAGCACACTGCTCTCAGTGGTGGTGCACATGAGTCAGTGCCTCCTCACCTCACTCCAATCCCAGAGTCTGCAGCCACTGCTCCTGGAGCGGACGTACTCGTGGTAACATTGCCCCCTGCTGCTGTCTGCTGTTTTCTACCAGGGTCAAAAATTGCTTATCTCAAACAAATCACTCAAAAAGTTTGCTCTTTTACCTATTTGGGACAGCAAGTTTGAGAGGGCTTCTGTAATGGTTTTCTTTACCCTAACATGATTTATGATCCAAAGCTTGTTACTGGTACACTATCCTCTTTTCGATGATCGTATTTGGTTTACGGGTTACTGTACACTTTTTTTCTATGGGATGTATGCTGAGACATATTTTCTTCTAAAGGGTCTTTGATACTTCAATTGTTAGGTGAGTTATAGTTTTTTCTTTGTCTCACTGTCAGTTTAAACCTATGTTTTGCAGAGTCGAGGCATGCACAAAGTGGGCTCCTTAACGCCTCCTTCTTCACCAAAGATGTCTCAAAAAAGTGGCCACAGGCGCATCCTAAGTGATGTCACTCACAGCACTATTTTTGGGGTTCCTGTGAGCAAATCCACCCAGCTTCTTCATGCAGCAGCAGCTGAAGCCAGCCTCAACAAGTCCAAGTGAGTACAATGACCCCATTCCCTTTTTTAATTTCAGCTTCATGTAGGTAAAAAGCCTTAGTCTCTTTGAATAAGTAGCATCACCCATGCTTGCACAAGACAACTGACCATATACATAATATATACATAACATATATATAAATATACAAAACGATAAGCTACAACTTCACAAACTGGATGTGATATGCTTTTGTTTCATTAACAGAATGCACACTGATTGTGTTGTGATAGCATTCTGAAGGGGGAATGACTTAGCACAGGATGGTCAAAAACAAAACTGAAATATATTAAACTTTGAATTAAATATTTGTGTTAATTGACTATAGCATTTTCAAAACAATAAAAGGTAACATAGTGATCTAAATATGTTATGTGTGAGCTAATTAGTTAATATCCCATAGTGTGTAATACCCCTTCTTTAACCTTAAATTGATTAACTAATTATATATGTCTGATGCATATTAATACTTTTTTTTTTTTTAAGATCTGCTAGCACTACTCCTTCTGGCTCACCCTGTTCATCCCAACAAAGTGTTTACCACCCATATGACAGCAGCACTATGGCAGCCCACCCTGCAGGCAACAGCCAGCCCAGTTGGAACCCTTTTGGGGATGATAACTTCTCAAAACTTACAGCAGAAGAACTTCTGAATAAAGACTTTGCAAAGCTTGCAGACTGTAAGATTGCTTATGTTTTAAGATTAAGTTCCAAATCTGAAAATGTAGTCAATCTAACTATTATTGGTTGTTTGTGCACAGCTGGTATAGCCGAGAAGCTCACTGGCTCCAGTGAAAATATAATTTCTGGGCTCCAACCATTTCCAGGTATAGCATTTTTACTGTTTACATTGTATTTTTCTATTTAGTAAATCCTCTATTACATACATAGATCTTTATTTTTGCTTTTTTCATTTTAAACATTTCACTGCCGCAGGCAGAAAATTTTCACTCAGCATTTTTTTTTTTTTTTTTTTAATTATTATTTCTGAATTCTGTGCATATGACCTGTAGTCTAAATATTCATAAGAACACAGAGCAGTGGGCAAGGATAGAGTTATTCTGGGTGCAATTTTAACCTCTCACTTTTTAATTTTGAGATTTTTAAGATTTGTAGGCCAATTTATGCATCTTGAGCTTGCTCACATGTTTGGAGGATATGGTTTAGAGGCTTTTGACTCTTGCTTGTTGGTATTTAGTCGACAGTATCTATTTAAGCAGCAGCCTCACAGTAGACCCTTGTCACTTGAATAGTGAATAGTGTGCATAGCCGTGGCTCCATCACATCTCATTTGCAAATCTGTTGCTTGGTAACCTGGAGGACAACTTCTTCTTTGTTAATTGGATTTCCTTGTTGCTGGTAGTACTTGCTAACAGCACTACTGCAGACTGAAGGGAAAGTTAAATGAGCTGCCCTGTTAAAAGGAGAGTCCTACTACACTCAGTCCAGGCCTTAAAGAGTAACAGCACCAAGGAGTCTGACTGGTTAAAACTAGACTATTACATAATCAGGGTGTAGTAATCAGCTTTTAAGATCTCTGGTGTAGCATGGATTAACTGTACCAGATTAGTGCTTAGCCTCACAGGGATAAATTAGCTTTACAACCATTTCCAAACTTGTATGAAAAACAAACTGACTTCTTATCTTCATTGGAAGGAGCAAAGCATCACATCTGCTGTACCATTTTGTGACGAACACATTCCTCCTCTAAGACCCACTTTAATGCCCCCTATTGTTGTTTCCTGTGAGTATGAGATGCATCCAAAAGCAGTTGTGAAAGACGGCATGGGACATGATATGTCTGTCAACAAATATATTTTACATAATACTTTACTAATAATACTAATGATAATTGTTATGGGTTACGAGTCATTATGAGTTTTGACTCTATGCACTACATTGATGCCATTTACCATATCATTGCTTTTGTTACTCTATTGTACTAATCTGAATTCGTCACACACGTCTGTTACCTTGTTAACAGACGTGTGTGCAACTGAAACCTTTAGTTTGCTATTGGTTAAATCTAACTGAACTGGGATTTTTTTCCCCTTTCCATTTGCTGTCTCTGTCACTCTCTTTTCTCTCCTTACCTCTTCTATTTCTGCCTCATAGAGAAACTGATTGAGGGGCTCAAGTCCCCTGAACCCTCACTGCTGCTCCCTGATCTTTTAACCCCGGCTGACATTTTTAAAACTTCCTCAGAGAGATGCACTGATGGTATCTGCTCTTGTTGACTCCATTCTGCTGTTACTGTGGTCCTTACTTTAAATTATTCATTAAACTCTGTTTTAATACAATGGTTTTGTTTATCTTGTATAGCCAAAACTGAAGTATGTGTGGACTCACTGATTCCTGGTTTAGAGGCTCCACAATCCCAGCGGCAACCAGATGTGAGCTCTGGCATCCAAGGTCAGCTGTATTTTGAACGTAGATCATAGTCACAACATGGAGGCATATCATTGTGACTGTTAACATGTAAGACGCACAATTATTTGAAAAGGCTCCCTTTCCGCTTGTACACACCCTATCCAGCTTTACATACCATGCCTCACCAGCTGTACGCGTACACGTACGAGTGGATACTGTTTAGTGCCAAGTGTGCTGACACTGCATTCGCTATTATGTGTACCTTAGGCTGATTTGTGATCACCTGGCTACAGTTTTTGTTGTGAAAAAACATGTAATGCCAAACTATAAGCTAGAATTTGGTGGTGTGCCTTTGTCATCATAAGCAGCAAAAAGCTAGTCTAAATTGGCAACTACTTAGTCTTTGATATAGTCAAAGTGAGTGATCTACAAACGCTAAAGCTAACAGTCCAATCCCTCTGTCCTTCTGCTTGGTCCTGGCTGCCTCAGACACCCTCACTGGTGACGGCTCTCTGCTGGGCTGCGACCTCCTGTCTCACTCTCCTGCTCACAGAAAACAGTGTGTTTCCTCTGTTAATAACCTGGGCTCTAGATCCTGTCTGGAGGAACAGCTGACAAACCAAGCACCTGCTGGTAAGGCCATGTGCATTTGGATCAAAGTAGGGCAATATGGTGATAAAACCTAATTGTGATCTGATCCCTGTGATGATATATTAATTTGGTCAGATTGCCATTCACTGTCTCTATTTAGTGCAGCTATCTGCTCAAACTGACACTTTTCCCACCAACTTCACCTACTGATTAAGCTTTGTAGCTCTGAGGGAATTTCAGAGCCACAGTCCGAACTTCAAGATCAAATCAAAATGGTAGTCTGGCTCCAAGAATATTGTAATGTACATGTTTTTGCCATATTGACATTCTTTGATCAAAGCCTCAAAAATGCATGTTCTGTACTTCCTGCTTGATTTCTTCTTTCATTCTGAATCAACCTCTTACTCTTTTTCCATTACGTCTTGGCTACCTCACCCCTCAGACTCTTCTCTTCTCTTGTCGTGTGGGCACCAGAGCAACAGTGATGAGTTTGACCCTATACCTGTGCTCATCTCCAAAAACCCAAGTCAAGGTAAGATCTTATGAAAACTGAGGATCTTGAGACAGCCTTTCTGCTTGCACCACCAGCCTTTGTAAATGTCCCTCTTAAGAGTAACTAGCATAGACTTGAAAAGCTGAAAATGGCTTGCATACTGTCACCTAGGCTAAGCATCTCATCACATTGAGCGTTATGTCCTTGTTTTTACATCCAGCGCTCCACCGCTTGCAGGTGTTGCTCTTTGTAGTTTATCTTCAAGTTACAATGGTTTCCCCTTTCTCTCCCTGTATTAATGCGTCTGTGTAAAACTGATCCCTGCTCACTTTCTGCCTGTCTTTTTTTCCTCTTTCTGCCCCTCTGTTCATGCATCCTTCTACCATTATCATCAATTATTAATTTCTCCATTGATTTAATCTTTGTAAAAAAAAAAAATAACTTTTGCTTTCACACTCCCCTTTGGCTCCATCTCTCTCCTTCTTTTGTTTGGTTCCTCTCTTTCTTTCTGGCACGTTTCAGGTGGTCACTCGCGCAGCAACAGTGGCACTTCTGAGTCCAGCATACCCAACCTGGCCCGCTCCCTTCTGCTGGTGGATCAGCTCATCGACCTCTAGAGGCGGTGGCAGAGGTCGAAGGGGCAGAGTGTAATGCTAAAACAGTTGTAGCAGGGCAGGGCTGGGCTAGGATACAAGGACACTCCATGTAGCACCTTTTGAACTGAGAGAAACAAATTATTATAATATATATAATTTAGGTCCTGACCATTCTTTAGATGTGCCTCCTTGGCCTCCACTCCATCTCTAGCTGCCTGATAAGCTGGCTTCATTATCTCTGCTGAGCTGCTACAAAACAGTCATGTAAAACAGTCATGAATGCCTGAACATATCCTTGGCTTCCGTTCATACTTTGCTCATATTTTTCTCATTGAATGCACTGCCATTGTGAAGTCTTCATGTGAACATTTACAGGACAAACCTTTGTGTTCTTGTTTAAGGTTTTGTTAAATGAGTTGGGCCTATTCATTTAGTATAGGGGCCTCAATAAAGAGGGATAACATTGTGGACCTACTATATATGCACTTTGTTCTAAAAGCTTTGAATTCAGAGCATATGTACTTCTGCTATATAAAGTACTGAGGCAAACATGTATACAACTATGTCTTTCAGGTAGTGCACCACATGTATCACCACATTAATCTGGAAATGTAATAATATTATTATAATATGGCATCAACATACTACTACAATTCTGTGGACCTGTGGCACGGCAACATATAGTTTGACTTTCATGCTTTGTTAAATTGACCAGCTTCGACAAGTAATTATTTGGATAAATGTAATCTTTTTTAACGTCTTGACACCTGTATTTTGCATAATGACAGTGGAGATTTAGGAACTGACTGGATTTTTGTGTGAACCAAATCCTTTTTTTGCCACTTTAAGTTTGCAGTAGTAGCCAGGACATTTCCATTATCATAGTTTTAACAGATTACTGAATAATGTATTGCTTTAGCATTTTAATGTTTGCAGAAACTATAGTGAATTACGTACAGATTGTATGGAAGATATTTGGCAAATGTGGTGATGTCATGCTAAATAATACTTTTAAATATATAGTAATCTTTGTAACTGTTATATTCTAGTGCATTTGCCATAGCAGTCAGGCTGAGATCAGTGAAAAAGTGTGTTTCATTAATACTCATTTTAGAGGTTATCTTTAGTTATCAGCCAGACAGTTGTGTCTGTGTCAAGAATATTGTTCTCTCTAGTGTTATCTCGAAACACACTCACATTACATCTACATAGACAAGCTACAACTGTTATATTAGCATTCAGATTTTCTTGTCTTCTAAAGATTAATTTTATAGTAACACTATTGCACTCATGTTACGCTGTAATTAATTGCACTAATGCCACACAGGAGATGCTGTATCTAAATTTTTCACATTGTGTTTCAATTATGCATTAGGTATATTGAGGCCCAAATAGCCCTCTAAACAGTTTACTTTTGCCAAGTTTGTAACATTGCATCATTATCATGACTATTCTATGCAATATGTTTATTTTTTATCAGTACAGGGTGATCTGTAGTCTATCTTGACTTAAAGGTTTTACTTGTGTTGGTGATCATTTTGTTGTGCTGGTTGATTTTAAATAGGTCTGTTTATTTTATCATAGCAATCAATAGCAGCAAATGTCAATCACTTTTGAGTGTGTACTTCTATTTTTCTGAACTAAGGCTTTAAGTGAATAAAGCTCATAATTGTGAATGGAACTTCAGTCTCACTGAATCACTGATTTTAAGACCAGCTGGCTTTGTAATGTATTGTGAAATTAGGAAATTTAATCAGTTTTAAACAACTTCCAAAGAGATGGCTGTAACTACTACTTCACTTTGCTGAGGTAAGAATGATGCGTGTTCATCTGTGCAGTCTGTCTCACTGCTGCCCCCCGTGCTGTTAATACTTTGTTTCCACTCATTTTTTGTCTGTTTTACTCTAAAACAAACCCCTGATGTTGCATTTTTGTCAACAGTTTATTAAAGCTTATTTAAGAGTAACGCACATTTGTGGAAGCAATGGTTTTGATGTTTTAATGGTAGCACTGGTCTTGTCTATTTAGATGGAGGCATATGTGTGTTTGTTACTGTGCTGTAGTTTTTCTACTGGTGCTTTCATGTGGTGACAGAAATGCTTACATGTTGTGGTTTCTAACATTGACAAACTATAATCTGGTTGAACACATCTTGATTTGTTGATGTCTTGAATGTCTTTTGCCAGCAGATCTCCAAGGAGAGAGTAATGGCTACACTGTTCTCACTGAGGGACACGAGAGGGAACCTTCAGATCCTCAAACAAATGAAGGCTGTGTGCACTCTAGTGATGAAGAGGAGCAGGAGCCTAAACAGGATGAGAGTGGAATCTGTGCTCAAGACTGCAGTGGCTCCAGACCTCTGCTGATGGACTCTGAGGAGGAAGAGGACACTCCTCACTACAGCGATGTACCTGCACAGCCTCCAATAGCTTACCCTCCATCAAATAACATGGCCCAGAACCACTGCCAGCACAATTGTGCTGCTCCCCCTGAGGAGGCCACAGCAGATGTGTTCTCAAACGCCCCGTTTCGGACTGTGCATGAAGACACATGTGATGTGTTTGCCAATGCCCCGTTTCCACGGCCTTCTGCTGCAGCACAGCAGCCCATTGATGTCTTTGCTCAGGCACCTTTTGGAAAAAGAAAAGAGTCCACAGGAGTGGCCAGTGTGGCTCTATATCCACACCCAGCAACAGCCACTGAACCAGGAGTCTTAGGAAATGTCACCCCGCAGCCTTTCCATCCACAAGCTTTGGCCAAATATTCTCGTCACTTTGAGGGGACAGTCTCACAGCAACCTGGGCCAGCTCCAGGCTCTGTGAGTAGACAGGCCACAGTGGGCACTGTCCCGGTACCACCTTTACACACTTGGACCTCAGAAAGGAGCACTGGAGATCCCTTTGTCTCTGCACCCTTTCACCTCAAAGCCCCACAGGAAAAGCCTTGATAAGTACTGAAACACATGTCCCAGTCTATTATGCAAAGTCCTGCATGCGCTCACCAGCGCTGCAGCTGGACTGCGGGCCTGCATGAATCTCTTGCACAAGTAGCTCAATACTCACAGTACTGCAATATCATTTACATTTGAATGACAACATCATTCACTGACTGATTTTACTTTATGATGATTCATCTTCATGGTACCTTCACAATCTGATCAAGTGGTGGTTGAGTTAGTGTTCTTTTCTACCTCACATTTTGGTTACATAAGGACTCGGTGAGGGAATAGTAATTTTTTTTTTCTACTATAATTGATGTAGTGTAATCTTAACATGGAAAAGAGGAATTGATAGGTGAAGGCATGGGACTTATTTCTATTGATTCACTACTATTGTTGTTGGCTATTACACTTGAGATTGTGTTTTAACAAGATGCTGGATAAAGATGCACATGTAATTTCAGGATGAGAAACATTGCAAAATGTTTGACTGTTGGACAAAGAAACATTCACTTATCATTTGTTTGTGACCACCATGTTCTAGTTGCATGATTTTATTTTGTCTCCTCCAGTTAACTGCTGCAATTTATGTTTAGTTGCATAAACTGTTTTACCTTATGCAGGGTGCAAACACTTATTCATGTACCAACACTCATGCTGATGAAAATGAAAAATTCTGAAAATATTTTATGCAGTCTGATAAAGACCGGGTCCTTTGGCACAGCAGTCAATGTCAGTGAATGTACTGGTCAAAGCTTAAACCAGAGATCATGAAATGTGCCTCTCATAATAAGGCATTTGTTCATCTTGATTTATGTGAAAATGTTTTTTTGCAAAACACAGAGCATTTTCACTGTGGCACTTTTAAGAAAGAGGGTCAGACCTTTTTCAATCCAAAGTTTGTTTCTTTGTTGCAATACACAGTATCTACTTTGATCTTTTGTATGTTGAAGTGTACAATCTTAAAAGACCTTCTGGATGTGTAAAAATGAAGGCTGCACATTGTCACTGATGACTAGCCAGAGCTCTTTTACTGACTTGGTGCTCCAAGTTGTTTGGACGCATACAGTAGCTTAGCCTATAGGAATTTTATGGAGAAAAAAAAACAACTGTTGAGAATATTTTTTCATGACGCACACTCTGCCTTTAAAATCATATATTAAAATGTATGTAAAGATACTGCTATTTGTGTTGACTATTGTTTTCAACTTCAAGTTAGTTTGTTTTAGATAAAGCTTGTAAAAATCTGCATTAAAATTTGTTTTGATTTGTCTTATACATCTAACCACAAAAATATTGCTTTTGGTTGTTAACACAACTTAATTATATTATCATTATATTAATTATTTTTTAAAGATTGGCATCGTTTTTTGTACGGTAGAGGGCGCTAATGCTATAAGCATGGCTCTAACTCAAGAAGAAGTAAACAAAAATGGCGGTTTACTTTTCTGCACGGATTTGCAAGTGAAAATTGCGCACTCTTTAAATTGTTTTTAAAACGTGTTTGTTAATCCTGTTGGTTGAAAACTTTTGTGAAATCCATATACGACGGTTTTGGTTGATCTTCTACCGGGGCTGTGTTTTCATCTCCGTCTGCTCCATTACTACTTAAAGCCACCGAATGGATCGTATTCTTCTGTAACTTGCGTTGAGAAAATTACATTTAGTGTTGGCTAGAGGTGCCGTAAAATTCGTATGATTGCAAGGTGCAATGGCCACTCAAAGAGTCCTTCCTCAAAGCAAAGAAACTCTGTTACAAAATTACAACAAACGTCTGAAAGATGACATCAAGTCTATCCTCGATAACTTCACCGAAATCATCAAAACGGCAAAGGTACGAGATGTCCATTGTGTTTATGTTTTCTTGTAAACTTTATCGGGATTTTTATGTTTATCATATATTTTTGTTAACTCACATTGTTGAAATGTGCAATCCGATGCACTTGTTCTTGTTTTGGATCAGATTGAGGAGGAGACCCAGGTTTCTCGACCTACCCAAGCAGAGCAAGACCACTATGAAATGCACGTTAGAGCGGCCAACATTGTAAATATTTTATTTTTCACTTCATTATCTTAAATGTATTATTTTTCGCTCCGCATTCATCCGTGGCAAATTTTTAAACCTAGCTGTCCAATGAGTGTTTTGAGTCCATATGCTGGGTGTGTGAATTGCTGCTACTTACAGGTTCGAGCTGGAGAATCCCTGATGAAGTTGGTGTCCGACCTGAAACAGTTTTTGATTTTGAACGATTTTCCCTCCGTGAATGACGCTATCAGCCTTCAGAACCAACAGCTTCGCTCACTGCAAGACGAGTGTGACAAGAAACTCACATCCCTCAGAGATGAAATCGCCATTGACCTTTATGAGCTAGAGGAAGAATATTACTCCTCCAGGTACAAATAGGATCATATTTGCTCTCATCCCACCTTCCCTTTACACGCTTGCATATAACCATGTCTCCTTTTACATTCACCACCAAAAGTCAAAGGAAGTATCACTCATTTATGCAATTTTTTTGTTCATATCATTGTTCATTTTTATACGTAATTTTATATAGTATATCTGAGTATATATTTTCAAGCAGAACATTTATAACATTGTAGTGCATAGGCAGCTGATTGAAATGAAAAATACATTTTTCTTTTTCTTTTTTCAAAATAAATCAGAAACATTTATTTAAAATAGAAATGATAAATTTTCAACAATTCATGGGTTAAAATAATATAAGGATATACACATTTATAAATAATATATTGTAAACTTGCAAAGATGTTATATTACATTCCCACATTGACTCAATAATATACTTTTAATTTGGCATCCAGTTCTTGAGGACAACTTTGTTTGGGACTTTTTTTTTTTTTAACATTTGGACTCTTTCTTAAACACAAATGGCTCAAGCTGTATCTTGCAGTGTCCATTCAAGTGTAACAAATAAAAGAGACAAACCACTGTAGTAGTTGGTCATTATTGAACACTGATCAAGAATCATCTTTATGAGGCATGTTGAGTGTGGGTTTTCTTACTACATTCCTTCTGCTTCCTCACCATCAGCAACTAACTGCCCTCTTTGCTGAACTAAAACATTTCAATCAAACAGCTTATTGTGTCTTAATTTAAAGTTCCAATACTACAGTAACATGCTTCATGTTGATGTAATGTTTGTGTATGACTGCTTTATTCTGACCTGCTGCTCTTGTCTGCTCCTCTGTTTCTTGCTGTGCTGCCTCTTTGCATCCTGCTGGTTTTTGCTCTGCAAAGCTACAGTCTGTGGGACAACTCAGATGTGCCCCTTTGTGAGGCCTACCGTCGCCCGGACAGTTGGATGTCCCCAGACAGTAGCTGTAGTTCTCCATCCGAGGACAGAGAGGACACTGATGGGCCTCTTGCACCTGGGACAAACCCTCAACACCACCTCAATGGACACAGCACCACCACATCTGAAAAGCCTTGATAAATTGTTCAGGGCATTGTTTACATTTGTATTTTGTATAAAGAATCACTAATGTTAGTTTTGTAAGATGGACATACAGCAATTATGAAACTCATTTAAATTAGTGATGATACAAACACGGATATGTGCTTCATGTTTTTGTGCAAAAGAAACTTTTTTTTAATAAAGGTTATATTAGGAAAGACATTTATCCAGCTCAATTTCAAACATGAACAATTACAACATTACAGGTCACAATCCTAATTAGTAAAACTAAAAAATGTAATTCAGTAAGCTATTTTACTATTTAAACACAACACATTAAAATATTCAACTTATTACTGTCCTATTTGCAAGTTGTAACTTTGAGCCGATCAATATCGACGATTCATTTTCTTAAACTTCTCATAATGGTAGTCATCTGTGGCCTTTTCATTGTTGGGACGTTTGCGAACATTGGGTGGTGAGGGTGCTGTTGGACGTTAATGGAATATTGTTACACGAAATTTTATACAATAACATTGAATTTAAAATGCATATTTTTTTTACCCTCTGGGCCTGGTTTTTCTGTGTCTCCCACACGCAGTGGTCTTGGTTTAGGTTCCTCTTTGTGTCTGTTGTTATGTCTTTGGGGAGCATTCACATCCTCGTGATAAACTAGGCAAAACCATCAATGGCAAGTAGAAGTTAATAAGATAAAAATTACTGAGTGAAACAAATGTAGATGATCACTCACAGCGATTGTGTTGGACATAATTAACAGCAATGTTTGTGGGCACAAATGACGTTCCCAGGTCTTTTTTCTTATTTCTTTGCTCTGCCAACAACTTAGCTTTTGCCTCTTCTGTTTGAATAATGTTCTTGATTTTTGCACTGAAAGAATATGAATTATTACTACTGCTTCACGACAAAATATCAGAACATCGGTGTGAAGTTTACACTTACTCGATGCCTAAGTCAACTTCAGGGATCCCACTCAGCATCTGATTGGACAACATCTCTTCTGTTTTCTTGGCAGAATTTACTCTGATATTCTCCGGCAGTTCATACAAGTGATCTTCTGCGTTTTTCACTTTCACCTTCTGTTCCTCATCTTCCACCAAACCTTTTTTCTTTTTCAACTCTGTCTCAATGTATTTCATCCTGATAACAATCATTAACATGTATACCACGCAGTAAATGTATTATGTATAAAACATGGGATCTGTCAAAAATATGTAGATTATGTAATAAAAGTCTTACATGTCAGCATCCTCGTCTCTTCTGTTGGTCTCTGCAGAAAATGAAGTACCAAGACTGAGATCTGTCTCATCTTCTGTCCTATGAAGGGTATGAAAGTGAACAGTCAAAATCAGAATAATTTAAAAAATATCTACAAATAAAAGAAGGCTTGGATTACTTACATGTCTCTGTTTCTATCTTTGACCTTCTTCATGTCTACAATTCCTCCAGATTTCAGCTTGAAGGGATCATTCTATAAAATACAGGATAGTGAAAACATTTCATTTAACTCAAGAACTGACGCAATGGCTCGTGTACAATCTTTAGAAGAAGTGTGGCTCACGTCAATTTCAGCTTCGGGTGGTAATTTTTCTCCAACCAACAAGGCTGTAACACTGATGAAAGTAGGTTTTAATGTTACGATTCTAATAAATGTTTAGGTTGCAATTTCTCGCTTAAAATCACCCATCTGTACCTGACTCCATTCTGTCTCCTGCGCAAGCTCTGAAGTTCCTTTGCCTCCTCCAGTTTTGATCTACGACACAAAAACGCGAGTGTGAATTACATTTATAATTTATACTTTAAACCAGATGGCAAGTTAAGTCGCAAGAACCGTGGGGAATATACAACACAGGTAAAAAAAAAAAAAAGCAACAATATCGTTAGCGCTACATAAAATGATACTGTACCTGACTTCTTCTGTTATCTCGTCCTCTTCTTCATCCGAGGAGTCTTTTCTCCTTCTAAAATTCTTCCCACACGGCATTGTTTTGTCTATTTTACCGTGATTCTTTGGTAAAAAAAAATATCGCGTCTTCTATGAGAAAATGGGGGACCACTTTAGCAAACGTACAATAATATTACGTCACTTCCTCTCCTATTTCCGAGGTCTGTTTAGCCAATCATAACAAACATGGCGACTTGCAGGCAGGTCTCTACATTTATGCGCATTTCGTCAAATATTTTACGAGGGTAAGCTTGCTGATATTGTAAGGTTGATGTATTTGCTGCAGTTTAGTGAAATACATTATGCTCTAATTGTGAACTGAAAACTGGCATGAAAGTGTTGATGGTGTGGTCAAAGTCATTTCTGTGTAACGCGGTGTAATACATAAACGTTCAACGTTTGAAATTCCATTTTTTTCTAATGATTGCATTACTACGGTTTCTCAAATAATCTTCAATATCACAATAAAACTTCGCTCAATATGACAGGGTAACTTCAAAATTTACTCAAACTTAGGTTCCCAAAAGTAACCTGTGTTTATAAATGTTTTCCACGGATTGTCATTGTTATTATGAATGTCATTATTTATTATTAATTGTTATTACTTGTCTCTTTTGTATTCCACGCCAGTCTGGGAAATGGGTATCCACGTGCTGAATTCCACTGGCCATCTTGTAACACAGGAATCCAAAGCCTTGGGATACAAAATCTTCCCTGGATAGTTCCTGGTTTGTATTTCTATGGTAGCTTTACAAACTGCTTTAAATATACACTGATTAATCACATTTTGATTTACGATCTTAGGAAGAACCATGTTTGTGCAAACACAGGACACACCAAATCCAAACAGTCTAAAGTTCCTCCCCGGACGCGCAGTCCTTGATTCAGGAACAATGAATTTTGCTGGCCCTCATGATGCATACTGTTCACCGTTAGCCAGGTAAATGATTTTCTCAAGACCTTATTTTGAGATGATCTGATTGCAATAGTTTGATTTTGTAGTCATTTTTAATAAGTTTAACTGTAACGTGTTTTTCTATTACCTTGAAAAGTGCCTATATAAAACTAATATTATTATCCTTTTGTAATTGTCATATGTTGTCATTTTGATCCTTTTTAGACAGCTCTTTAGAATAGATGGTGTAAAAAGTGTTTTCTTTGGCCCGGATTTTATCACCATAACAAAGGTATTGCCAAAGTTTTATGGCATCAGTTTAATCTGGGATTGTTTCTAACCATGCATAAATAATGTAAAAAAAAATAGGCTGGTGCTGAAATGGAATGGAAAGTCATTAAGCCTGATGTATTTGCCACCATTATGGATTTTTTCACATCAGGACTCCCAGTGGTCAATGATGACAGCAAGCCAAATCCCGATACAGGTAAAATACAATTAAAATTTTGTTTAAAAAAAAAGGTTAAACATGTGTAACAGTATAATTGTTTACTATTTCAGCACCATCAGATGAAGATGATGAAGTTGTTGCTATGATTAAAGAGTTGCTGGATACTAGAATAAGGTATCTGTGATATTTGACATAAATAAATTACATTCAATTTAATGTTATTGTAATTTCTTATGCTCTTTGTCTTTTAGGCCCACAGTGCAGGAAGATGGAGGGGATGTTATCTTTCGGGGGTTTGAGGATGGGGTTGTTAAACTGAAGCTACAGGGTTCCTGCACAAGTTGCCCCAGTTCTATTGTTACTTTGAAGAGTGGCATCCAAAACATGCTGCAGTTTTATATCCCAGAGGTTGACGCTGTGGAGCAGGTTTGTTCTTCCTTTATTATTGCACATTTATTATTGTAATATTATTGCAAAGTAATATTAACACAGTAGAATTATTGCTTATACATTCCACTTTTCTTGTTTGAAAGGTAAAAGATGAAGATGAGCAGGCCGCTGAAGTTTAAATCATGTTGCAACATCTTCAGCCAACACATTCTTCCTTATCGGTGGAGTCAAATGACATAAAAAGAACATAGTGAACTATATCTTTGTTTTTCAAGACTAACTGTGGAAATTCATCTATTTTCTTCAAAGCATACTGTCGAAAATATATTTGACTTTTTTACTTACAAGAAAAAACACACAAGTTTCACTTCAACCTAGTTTTTGTTTCTCAAATGCAAAAAGTTTAAAAATAATACAGAATTAAATATTTATTATGATTAAACCGCTGTACGTACAATGTGTCTTTTATTTTCTTTTAGATATATTTTTATCAAGAAAACTTCAAGGCCAGAACAAAAAAAAATATTGTATACTCTTAAAAAATGCTAAGTATGCGAGACTGCAATGAACTGCTTTCAAATGCTCGTATTACACTTTCAGCTAAAATGTAAATGCAGCTGTCTGCCTCGTATTTTGGTAAATATTATTTATTTCCCACCTTTGTATTTTAGCAGGTCTATATACTAATGAGAGAAGTTTATTTTAGTATGTGGTCTGGCATGAATTTATTTATTTATTTATTTTTTGCTAGTTATTTTGAATTCATTAGTACATTTTTTTGTTATTATATTTATTGTGATATGTGAGTTACTGTGTCCAAATAATTTCCCTTGTGGTTGAATAAAGTTTGTCTAAGTCTAAGTAAGAAGATTGGAGTTGAAGGCGAGTAGTTTGTGTTTGTAGTCCTTGAAATGGACTGAAAGGAGAGAAGGCAGAATTGTATTTCAGTAACAAAAAAGAAGAAGATAATTGGGTTAAATGTATTACTTTCCTACGCCACGGATGTTCATCCTGATGCCACGTCAGAAGAGTCTGCGTGTACGTGCGCGACGTGATTGGCAAGCGCCGCGACCAATCAGAGCGCGCCATGCCGATCCTGTTCCGTGGTTCCTGCGGAGGCACAACTCAAGTGACAGGCGTTCCCCGCTGCCACACCAGTCAGCTACGCCAGTCAAGAAGCCAACATGTGTGGTGAGTAAGAGAGAAAGCCTTTATTTTTCATTACGGCAGTGTAATGAAAATGTTTCTGCACCAGGCAGTAAACCAATAGTCAATCGCTCCGTACATCTTATGTATTAGTGAGTAGGGGAAATATTAGCTTGTGATGGATAAGGGTTTAGCATTCACCAGTTAAGCTAGTAATAGGCTACTCTAGTGCCATTAGCTACACTTAAATCAGTGTCTCTTAATGTGATTCATTTATGTTTAGGTGATTAAAGTCCTATTAATCAGATTTTTTTTAAAACGACAGTGATGTATATATACCATTACGTGAAATGAACGATGATGTTATGTGAAGTCGTAGATGCCATCAAAAATGTTTCTCCTCCTTTCAAGTAATTTACGTAGCAGATTTGGTTATTGTATCTGAGGCCGGAAATTGTCACCTATTTATCACTGACAGATCTGTCTATCACTGCAGTCGCAGTCTGAAAGCACTGGTCAGACTGGACTCACTCGCCCAGCAAAATAAAAGTGTCCATACTATTTTTTACTTTTGTTAAAGGTTTTACTGTTTTAAGTTTTTGTAGTACATTATCAACAAGGGACTACTTTGGCTGCTTAATTCAATATAGATTTGCTTACTACCCACTATTTGCTTTTCTTTTTGGCATATTGCCCCTGGTCCATCATCTGAATCATGAATGAGTGCTCTGTTTAACCAGTACATATCCTGCTTTACTTTCTGCTTACTGCTTTCACGTACAAATCCATCAATCCCTAACTGTGAATAATCTTGGTAAACGTTATATACCAACATTTATCTTTTCTTATTCCATATTGTAATGTACTACACTATCTACTCTACTCTGAACAATGTCATGAGAAAAGTCTATGAATCATCTTGGACATTTAGCGTTTTGTTGTGTTGAGGTAATGAGTTTCAAAAGTTAAAGTTAAAGCTTCACTCACATCTCTGTGTACAACTCTATAACTGGTCTTTCAGGTTGGTTTATTTCTTTAGGTATGCGTTTGTGAGCTAGTTGAATGATATGACTGAAGTATATCCATTTGTTGTATTCCTACAACAAATAGATATACTTCTTTCTACATTCCTAAGT